TAATGTTATTCGGCATTATTTATTTAAGGAATAATTCTCTTATTTTTCGATTTCGTGATGTGATCAATAATTTGCATGAAGGTGATTATGCATAAAATTATCACGCAAGCCAATCGCGGATTGATCATCGTCATGAAATCGAAAAATCTTACCGTTATTCCTTATATTTACATGCTATTGATTCCGCCAATCCACGTTCTACAAGCCCCGCTTCTTGTCTATTAGCTGCAGAACTGTAGCTCTCCGAAAAAATATCTATTGATAGACCGGAGAGCTACAGTGCCACCCATTGAAAAAAACTGTATATTTATTGCGCACAAAAAAGTGCACACGGTTCCGGATTAATTCTTCAAAATTCTTACCTCAATTGCAATAAAAGCTTTATTTAAAAAAATCCCTTACTCCCCATCAAGTACTCTCATAGTTTACATCTGTACGAAGCGCGCTGGACCGAATTATCTTACAAACCAAAATGGCAGTATAAAGAGGCGAAATTTTTGATGATTAAACTTTAGGACCAGGAGGGCATTAAAAAACAATTACATAAGGAATGTTTTGTTGTGGAAAGAGTAAAAGAATATGTTAGAAACACACGGTGAGTAAAATTTTGAGATGACAGTTTTAAAAACATGGAGAAATAAATCGAGTAACAGCGCACTTTTTTGTGCGCAATGAATATACAGTTTTCCCAGTGGGTGGCACTGTAGCTCTCCGGTCTGTCAATATATCATTTTTTTGAAGAGCTACAGTTCTGCAGCTATATTTGTCCCGCCCTGCACGTGATTTTTTTCAACCGCGCCTATTGATGAACCACTTTTCCAGCTGTACATTGATGGAGAAATAAATTACATTAACTATTTGTAATTTACCTCGGACAAAGACATTGAAAATGTAAATATTAAAAGATATGAATATATTTAAATTTTAGAAGGGTAGTCAAATAAATAGTTTGTGAATAATTAATAATTAATATCGGATTGTGAAAAAAATTCAAATGTAAAAAAAATAAAATAAAGGAAAGGTATTTGTTCAAAATGTATGCACCACATATGCATATAGATAAATTAGATATGTAGTGCTTTAATATAGCAAAAAGAAGATATCATCTTATTAAACATCTGACATGTTGTTCTGTTTATAGTGTATATACATTGTACATTCTCTTTAATTATGGTCTTTTACAAATTTATATTAAAAAATTCAAAGCCACCAACAATTAAAACAATGGTGTTACTGTACATAAAGTCACGGGCACCTGACGTTACTTTCCTTTAATAAAAAAAATATATCTATAGGGGGTATAGCTGCAGATCTGTAGCGTTATGGTCAAAGACAAATATATAAAACCATAACGCTACAGATCTACAGCTATAGGGGGTATACATGTTTTTTTTATTAAAAGAAAAATGAGTAATGTCTGGTGCCTGTGCATATCAAAAGTGTATATTACGGGTGCTTTATGATCGTTGGAGGCCTCGATTTAGCGGCAATATGAGATGTTTATTCCTCTCCGAAAGTAAATTACATATGAGTACATAATATCTGACCGCTCAGTATTGACAGTATTTACTGATATAACCACCAAATTAAATGGAAGACTGTTAATGCTTCTGACTTCGCAAATCAAACTTTCAAAATCGATAAATGACATGCTTTTAAACCGACAGAAAGTAGTATTCGCATGTTTTGAATGTACTATATAAAGCTGTAGCAATTTTGTTTTTCTTATAAATGTATAATCATATTTCATAGTAAAATCTTAAACAGGCCAGTAGGTAGCAATTTCAGGTGGGAGGGGGTCTTACATGTACAACCAAACATTTCTAGTATTCTATACATGTATATCGGGAAAAATAAATAAATAAATAAATAAATAATGAGCAACTTTAATAATGGTATGAATTAAATTTGAAGAAAATAAGTTGAGAACATAAGCTCTGCGTTTAGACTACTACGATATGTGTTTTACATGACATTATACGAGACAAAACGAATCGGGTTTTTTTCTCATCGACATAATACTTACCATCACTAGCTAAAGCCACGGAGGAATTGTGGCCAGTGTCTTGCTTTACAGTTTTTAATCTCTTCATGAGATGCAACTCCTAATTAACAAAAATATGAAATGTTTAGAAGAAGAGCCATGGATACGTTTGATTTCGAAATCCCCTAAATTTCTGATGTATTTGTCGTTCTAGATTTTCACGCGTTGGCTTTGATCGATTAATAACTTAAGCCTAATTTCAGAAAATGTTTTATAAATAACAATTAAAACCCGATCGAGAGCCATTTGATGAAAGAAAGTAGTTTATTTTTAATTTTGAATATCAGGCAATAAAATGCCATCAATCGAAAGTTCTATTAAAATTAACAAACAGGAGTGCCCCCCGTGTGTGAGTGGGTTTTTTTTTTTCCTTTTTAATTGGGGTCCACTGTCGAGAGCATTCTCGTCGAGAGAGAAAGCTTACACTTTTCCACAGACATTTATACTTGTAAAAAAAAGTTCATCTGCATTGTATATATATATAATATTTAATGATAATTCTAGGTATGTATGTTACAGCTGGGAGATTTATAAATAAATAATCATTAGAAAACAAGTAATGATTTTTACATATTTCTCTGTGTCTCATTTCCTCCACAAGATTACGTTTCATTATAATTTCTTATTAACTTTCATTGATTTTCGCAGAAATCATAGATTTTTAAAAGAAAATTATTTATCTATTGATTTATTTTTACTAAAATTGTAGTGATACTTGAGCTACCTGTAGAGTGTTGTAAGCGGTCATGTATTCTAGACCTGAGGTATACTCAATCACTGTGTTATTGTTTTGTTTTGGCAACACCTTGCGTAAGATTGGATCATTGTTTTAAAGCAAAAAAATTCATAATAATGACAGCGGATCAAGATAAATTCCGTATATCATGTATCGGTATATGTAACAAGAAACAATTAGAATTCTACATACCAAATAATAATCTATGTATTATATTATGTTATATTAGAGTACATACTTTGTGAAGAAAAAATACAGCACACATAATCATATACTTGAGAAAAACAGACAAATATACCTTGGTAATCATGACTGACTAGTTTATTGTATACCAAAGTGAAACAGAACAGTAATTTAATATCTATACAGAATGTGAATGCTTGAAAAAAGTCGTAACATGTAATCTCTTTTAAAAGGGTTATTTCGTAAGTTAACTCAGTTCTACCCTTGTTTTAAATTCAAAATTCAAAAAATTTATAAATTTGTAAATTTTGAATCGCCAAGTAAAATCATAATTACCTGTTTATATACTGTTAACCCTTGTTTGCATCGTTGCCTGGGGAGGGGGGGTATTAAATTCCCCAAAAGATTGCCAAGAAAACAAAAGCTACTAGTATACTTTATGGATGTGCCCTCTCAACAACTACCTCTGGTGACTTTTTTAAAAATGACTGATCAGGCAGCATAAACGAAAAGGAATGAACTTTGTCACGGATGCTGAAAACTTCCTTTTAAACTTGTTTCTAATGCAGAATACATTTTAATGCGGAAAATGTTGGCGCCCTTAAATATTTCTGGAAAAGTTGTATTTTGTCTTGTCTATTAAACATTAGTTGTTTATTTCTAAATTTAAAAAAACAAGAGGAAAACCTGATCAGAGTTGATAATTTTTTTCCCAGATGCCGAAGTTGTGTTTATTGCCGGTCAACTTTTAGAAACGGTTAAATAGAAAACATTTACACATGCAGTAAGGTTGATGTGTATTAGCCACACAATTTACTGACTGGGTGTCAGACTGTGTGTGTTCTTCAATTTAAAACACACACACACACACAAAACAAACAAACCAAATAACCTGTTTATTCTGTTTCAAACGTGTTTAAAAGAGTTTTCTTGCATCAAACAAGAAATTGTAAATTGACTTACCCCCCCCCCCTCCCGGATCCATCATCAGCCATCTCCCATCTAATTTCTTTGTGCACGGAGTGTAAGTTCCATTGAAATCACACGGATGAATCGTCTTTCGGTATAGAACGTGTGTATATGATTATTGTGATTTTCATGAACAACCGATGAAGAAGAATATCCGGAAAATGAGACTGGTTGATTTTGATTTTAGAACCCATTTTTCATTTCCGGTTAAGAGCTGACCTTACCCTGAGATCCTGCTAGCCAGCTGATTGCCGATTGCGGATTGGTGATTTTATTTTGTTCATGCTACAGTTTCTTTTGCAAACAATACCCAGAGAAAGTCAATATCAGATATTGCATATTTGCATGTGTTGCTTTAAAGAATTTAAAAAAAAAAAGATTGCCAGAACGTCGGAAAACGGTTAGCTCGCTTGTCTCACGGCACTAGCAATAGAAGTTAATGTAAATATATTGAGTATATACATGTGGACGCATCCTTTTCTATCCATGCATATACTCAATATTTACAAATAACAATTAACTTTCAGTGCTAGTGGCTGGCCCGAAACAAGAGTAGATATGGCATATTATAAAAAAAAAATTAGGAAAAATATTATTTAAGAAAAATCAAGGGTTAGGGGTACCCATGCCTATGCATGTGGTCTTAAAGTAATGTGTAAAAAAGTTCAATTGTGAAAAGATTAGAGATATAAAATAAAGAGATAAATGAATCCTTACCTCACTCAGTCATTCCTTCAATTATTTTTTTCTACATTTTTAGAAATGAGTTGAAGAACTGATATTGGGTAAGACAAAATAATTTGAGCAGCAAAATGTACAGACTGTGGAAGACAATCACACCTAGAAAAATTTTAAAAGGCAGAACATTTTCTTCTAGTAAGTACCTCAGTACCTCACACAGTGGTGATTGCTTAGTAAGGTACTTGTAAATGTTAGTAAGAACTAGTTGTAACACACAAGTACTTTCTCTTAATGTGATGAGTTTGGAAATTTTTTTTTTTTACTTAGAAGTTTCAAGTATATTAACTTAACTGTTTAGGTGAAATAATCCTTAATGCACATCTATAATTATTATACAAATAGTTTCTCTCTTTTTAATTTTACAGATGTCATTGAGATATCAGAAGAGGTAAGAGAAGCATTGCATTATGGGAAGCCAGTTGTTGCTTTGGAGTCGACCATCATCACTCACGGCATGCCTCATCCTCAGAACCTTCAGTGAGTTCAAGTGTCAACTTCAGTAAACCCAGAGTAATGGAGTGAAATTCTGGGAACACATAAAAAAATTCAGAAACAGCTTAGAGAGATTTTTTCTTTTTTTTTTAAGCTCACCTGAGCCGAAGGCTCAAGCGAGCTTTTCTGATCACAATTTGTCCGTCGTCCGTCCGTCTGTTTGTCCGTCTGTCTGTCCGTCTGTAAACTTTTCACATTTTCGACTTCTTCTCAAGAACCACTGGGCCAATTTTGACCAAATTGGTACAAAGCATTCTTGGGTAAAGGGGAATTTAAATTGTTAAAATAAAGGGCCAATTCCTCTCACAAGGGGAGATAATCAAGAAAAGACAAAAATAGGGTGGGGTCATTAAAAAATCTTCTTCTCAAGAACCACTGGGTCAGAAAAGCTGAAAGTTATGTGGAAGCATCCTAGGGTAGTGTAGATTCTAAACTGTTCAAATCATGATCCCCGGGGGAAGGACGGGGCCACAATGGGGAATCAAAGTTTTACATAGAAATATATAGGAAAAATCTTTGAAAATCTTCTTCTCAAGAACCACTGGGCCAGAAAAGCTGAAACTTTTGTGGAAGCATTCTGGGGTAGTGTAGATTCTAAATTGTTCAAATCATGACCCCCGGGGGAAGGTTGGGGCCACAATTGGGAATTAAAGTTTTACATAGAAATATATAGGAAAAATCTCTGAAAATCTTCTTCTCAAGAACCACTGGGCCAGAAAAGCTGAAACTTATGTGCACATGGAAGGATCCTGGGGTAGTGTAGATTTCAAAATGTCAAAATTATGATCAGTGGGGTAGGGTTGGGATGCGTTATGTATTACAGGGGGGAAATCTGGTAAAAACAGAATGGTCAAAGCTTCTCAGGTGAGCGATGTGGCCCATGGGCCTCTTGTTTTTATGTATGTGATATACATGTGAAGTTTTGAATGATCAAATAGGTACATATAGTATCTAAAAGGGGTTTAAGTCCTATTACTCCTATATGTTATTGGAGTACTGGCTCAGGACCAGTTCTTGGACATGCCTTGAAATTTTGAAAAAGGACTAAGAATTATTTAAAAATATTTTTTCTGTGTTGAAAAAAAATAACTTCAAGACTTTGTAGTTTCAAAGAAAATTTGAGATACAGCGATATTTGAAATTTTTATGATGCTTTTGTCTTCAGAACGGCATTATCTGTGGAAAAAATTGTCAGGGACAATGGGGCGACCCCAGCCACTATAGGGATACTGGGAGGCAAAGTCCACGTGGGTAAATACTCTCTTACACTACTTCACATCACATAGGTAAAGGGAGACAACTGCAATAGCATCACATTTGAATCTTGCTAATGTGCACTTATGTCATGTAGTCATTTACATGTAAGAAGTAGTTTCAGTTGTTAATTCACTTGATTGTGCAAAACCTGATATTTAAAACTATACTTAATAAGTATTTCTTATATTTTATATTTTTTTAAACTGCATAAGATACATTTTGCATGTGATATAATGCACCATGTCGAAGATAAGTGCTTGTTAGTACCTTAATGTCAGAACCATTCCAGGTCATATAAAATAAATGATCCATTCATCATGTACATCGAATGTTTAAGATTTACTGCAGACATGCTTTACATGTTCCTGTGGGATAATTGTTTTATTTTATGAATTAACAGGCTTGTCCAACCTGGAGACTGAGTATTTAGCTGATCCTGCTACTTCTGCGGTTAAGACTTCACGGAGGGATTTCCCCGGGGTCATCAGCTCGGTATTGATGGGGGATAATATATTTTCTTATACAGGAATAACTATATACATTGATTTATTTCAAAATATCTGTAAGTCTTTTCATAATCTATTGAATTTAGTTTTTAAGTTTAAACAAGCAATATTTGCAAAGTTCATATTACATGAATTTAGCAATGAATCTTTCGCACTCTATTTCGTATTGTTAATACAAGTATTAAATCTGCAAGGTCAAGTAATTTTTCCTATATTTAAAATAAGAGAAACAAAAAATCTGTGAAACTTCATTGAATGAAGAATCTTTATTATGAACGAATATCTGAAGATTCTATTTTTCTGTGATTAAAGAAACTGAATGGTGGCACCACTGTGAGTGGTACAATGGTTGTGGCAAACATGGTGGGGATCCAGATCTTTGTGACCGGCGGTATAGGAGGGGTTCACCATGGGGTACAGGAAAGTAAGTCAATCCTAGGCTTTATTTTGCATGTACGATGTTTATATGCTTTAAAAGCACATATTTTGACTTTCTGCATGCTGAATATCAACTGAACAATATTTTTGGTAGACAGATTATGAGGCAAATACTTGTGGTTGTAATAAAACTGTCTTGTACTAAAGTAATAGAAAACAACAGTTCAAATTTCTATATAAGGAACTGTCTAGTTTTTGTTTTTATGATTTAAAAATTATATAATTTGTGTAAACGCCCAAACACCTAAGGTGTTTATGCGTAAATTATCTTGTGAACAAACTGATTGATCATCTTCATAAAACCAAAAAAAAGACAATTTTTCCTTATATTCATATTTAAACTTTATCCTTGAATAACTAAAAAAAAATTCAATAACAAGAAATTTAAGCATCCTCTTCAGGTTATTACTAAGTGAGAAAGCATGCACTTCTGTCATGTGCTGAGCAAATCGCTTCATGAGATTATAAAGCTATTACCTTATTTCGTAGTTTTATCTCAGACAAAGACATTGGAAATGTAAATATTATTTTATGTCTACATTTATTTTATTCTTAATGCATGCAATACAGGTGTGTGGACAGCAGACTTGGATCAGGAGAGGTGAGAGACAGGGTGTTTAGTTTGACCAGAGACATACATGTAAATAAAAAAGATAAGCGGCTCTGTCATGAACAGTGTTATTTACCCAAATACGTGCCAGACCTTTCATTTTTAGCTCGCCTGAGCCGAAAGCTCAAGTGAGCTTTTCTGATCACATTTTGTCCGTAATCTGTCTGTCCGTCCGTCCGTCCGTCTGTAAATTTTTCTCATTTTCAACTTCTTCTCAAGAACCACTGGGCCAATTTTAACCAAACTTGATACAAAGCATCCTTGGGGGATGGGAAGTTCCAGTTGTTAAAATAAAGGGCCAGGTCCCCTTCCAAGGGGAGATAATCAAGAAAAGACAAAAATAGGGTGGGATCATTAAAAAATCTTCTCAAGAACCACTGGGCCAGGAAAGCTGAAACTTATGTGGAAGCATGCTGGGTTAGTGTAGATTCTAAATTGTTAAAATCATGACCCCCGGGGGTAGGGCGGGGCCACAATAGGGAATCCAATTTTTACATAGAAATATATAGGAAAATCTTTAAAAATCTTCTTCTCAAGATCCAATGGGCCAGTAAAGCTGAAAATAATGTGGAAGCATCCTGGGATAGTGTAGATTCTAAATTATAAAAATCATGACCCCCGGGGGATAGGGCGGGGCCACAATAGGAAATCCAAGTTTTACATAGAAATATATAGGAAAATCTTTAAAAATCTTCTTCTCAAGATCCAATGGGCCAGTAAAGCTGAAAATAATGTGGAGGCATCCTGGGGTAGTGAAGAATTTAAATTGCAAAAATCATGACCCCCGGGGGATAGGGCGGGGCCACAATAGGAAATCCATGTTTTACATATTATTAGAAATATATAGGAAAAATCTTTTAAAAATCTTCTTCTCAAGAACCATTGGACCAGAAAAGCTGAAATTAATATGGAAGTATCTTGGGGTAGTGAAAAATCTAAATTATAAAAATCATGACCCCCGGGGGTAGGGTGGGGCCACAATAGGAAATCCAATTTTTACATAGAAATATATAGGATAAAATTTTTAAAAATCTTCTTCTCAAGAACCATTGGGCCAGAAAAGCTGAAACTTATGTGAAAGCGTCTTTGGGTAGTGTAGAATCTTAATTGTTAAAATCCTGACCCCCGTGTAGGGCGGGGCCACAATAGGAAATCCAAGTTTTACATAGAAATATATAGGAAAAAAGTTTAAAAATCTTCTTCTCAAGAACCAGTGGGCCAGGAAAGCTGAAACTTAGGTGGAAGCATCCTGGGGTAGTGTAGAATCTAAATTATTAAAATCAAGACGGGGGGGGGGGAGGTAAGGGGCCACAATAGATATAAGAAGAGGGAAAATCTGGTAAAGAACTGCATCACAAAAGTTACTCAGGTGAGCGATGTGGCCCATGGGCCTCTTGTTTTTTTAAATACGCTGTATATCCATCTATCATTTTTTTAAAAATTTTGTTACATACATGTATTGGTATAGGATTTTGTAAACTTTAAAATCTTTACCCTCAACAAAAAGGCAAAATATGCAAAATAAGTAGGAAATATGGAAAACCAGAGAGTTAGGGGTGACCACAGCTCCTTATTATTGGAATAAGAATGAAAAAAAAAATTATATGAAAAATGGCACCATGAATAGGCTTTAAAGGGTTTTATGTCATTACTGTAAAAGTGGTTATTTACACTGGTTGTTAAGTACGCGTTTGTGACCATCAAACATTATGCATGGGTGTAATATACGCGGTCGCAAAAGTAACCGAGAAAAATTTATGCGGCCATTACTAACTTCGACTTGTTCCCCTTTGAAAATGATTTTAAAAAATGAAAAATGATTACAAACAAATGAAACAAATCAAATTAGAATTTATGCTGTTGGATTGGGAAATATAACGTTGGTTTGCACAGTCAAATGCAATGAAGTGTGAACAACTGGTTCACGCTTTATTGTAATTATTTACGCAAGCTTAAACTTCAAAGTGAGATTTACTTACCTGTATCTGCGTGTCGAGTGTTGACAATTTAATAGGTATGTTTGTAGTGACTGTGAGTTTATGTAACATTTTGGACTAATTATTTGAAATTAAGAGACACATATACAATTGTACAAAGGACATGAAAAGGAGTATCGATGTTTTGAAGCTTTAATTGCGTGACGTTGCTCTAAAATATTTAATATAAAGATGCATTTTTCATCGCACAATTTAAAAAAATGAACAGTTACATTTTCATCACTCTTTGTGATATATTTATCTACTCACGTGCGTTCAATACTACGATTAATATACGACTGGTTCAACCGGTCTACTGTATAAGTAATCTAAAAATATTCCAGAAGTTTGAAATTTTGTGACCATACGCTCGGGGGTATTTTACGCGGTTCTTAGCTGACCGCGTAAGTAGTGTAAATTTCCCCCATGTGTAAATAACCACTTTTACAGTATTATTGAAAATTTTTAAACATAATTTATTTAGATTGGTGTTTGCGTTTTCCCCCAAATCATGGTCTCTGTATAAGACATTTCAAGCAGTCATCCATTTCTGTTATGTCTCTGGTTTTCTTTACTTCAAGGAATTGTTTTTGTGCCTGATTTTGTGCAGTCACTAATGTTTAATTTATCTGTTTTCTTTGACTTGGAGTTTGTGTATCTTTTGCAGTGCAGTATATACTTTTACTAAATTTTGAGTAACATTTGATTGCTGTTCTTAGCTTTACAAGGTCTTCATTAAAAATTATTTTCTGATGTCTTCCAACCTCAAAATTAGAAAGTTAGTTGGATGCTTTTGTGCTTATTTATGACATGCACTCTTTTGTGTGAGTTGATCACAACATGACGTGCCAGATTTATTGCACCAGGTAATGGTATACATATACCAACCTTTAATCACATTTCATTTTAATGAGTTTGTCATTTTTGAGCCTGTACAATTCCCCCTGAGTCTTTGTCAGATCTCACTACTGAACTAGGATGTACTTGTTTTGATTTTGTCAGTCTGTTTGTTTGTTATACATTTATCTCTGGAACTCAATTACAAAGTTTTCCACTGCTTTTTTAGGTCACCTGAGTAAACTCAGGTGACCTATTGCTATCTGTTTTCGTCCGTCGTCGTGCGTTGTGCGTTAACATTTGAACATTTTCAGCTTCTTCTCTTGAACCAATTTCAACCAAATTTGGCCTAAAGCATCTATGGGTGAAGGGGAACAAAAATTGTGAATTTCATGATCCCTGCCCCCCTGGGGCCTGAGGGGTGGGGCCAAAACAAATTAATGCAATCTTTAAAAATCTTCTTCTTTACTCCTGGACATCAAGCAGTCAAACTGTTTGCATGATTGTTCAGTGTCCTCTACCAAAATTGTGAAATTCATGGCCCTGGGGTGTTCTAGTGCTAGGGCAGGGCTAAATAAGTAGGTAGTGAAAATGCATTATTTCTTTGAAAATCTTCTTCTCTGCTCCTGGGTATTAAATAAACCAACTAAGCACATAGTTATGATGAGCAAGAGTGCCACTACCAAAATTGTGAATTTTATGGCCCCAGGGTCAGGGGTTCTGGTGTTAGGGCGGGGCTCTATTGATTATATAGTGAAAATACATGAATTCTTTGAAAATCTTCTTCTCTGCTCCTGGGTATTAAATAAACTAATTAAGTGCATAGTTATGATGAGCAAGAGTGCCTCTACCAAAATGGTGAATTTTATAGCCCCATGGTCAGGGGTTTCTATTGATTATATAGTGAAAATACATGAATTCTTTGAAAATCTTCTTCTCTGCTCCTGGGTATTAAATAAACCAACTAAGTAAAAGTGCCTCTACCAAAATTGTGAATTTTATGGCCCCAGGGTCAGGGGTTGTAGTGTTAGGGTGGGACTCTATAGATTATATAGTGAAAATACATGAATCCTCTGAAAATCTTCCTCTCTGCTCCTGGGTATTAAATAAACTAACTAAGTGCATAGTTATGACGAGCAAGAGTGCCTCTACCAAAATTGTGAATTTTATGGCCCCAGAGTCAGGGGTTCTGGTGTTAGGGCGGGGCTCTATAGATTATATAGTGAAAATACATGAATTCTCTGAAAATCTTCTTCTCTGCTCCTGGGTATTAAATAAACTAACTAAGTGCATAGTTATGATGAGCAAGAGTGCCTCTACCAAAATTGTGGCCCCAGGGTCAGGGGTTGTAGTGTTATCTATTGATTATATAGTGAAAATACATGAATTCTTTGAAAATCTTCTTTTCTGCTCCTGGGTATTAAATAAACTAACTAAGTGCATAGTTATGATGAGCAAGAGTGCCTCTACCAAAATTGTGAATTTTATGGCCCCAGGGTCAGGGGTTGTAGTGTTAGGGCGGGGGTCTATTGATTATATAGTGAAAATACATGAATTCTTTGAAAATCTTCTTTTCTGCTCCTGGGTATTAAATAAACTAACTAAGTGCATAGTTATGATGAGCAAGAGTGCCTCTACCAAAATTGTCAATTTTATTGCCCCAGGGTCAGGGGTTCTGGTGTTAGGGCGGGGCTCTATTGATTATATACTATAGATCACTAAATTTTCGCGAGATAGTGATTGACTCTTGATTAGCAAGACAAAATTTTCGCGAATTATGGTTATTGCGCTATATATTCTTTAGGAATACCATTATACGCGAGAATTAAATTTTCGCGAGCACACTGCCTTGCGTAATTACGCGAAAATAAAGTTCTCGCGAATAAAAAGTGATTTACAGTAGTGAAAATACATTAAATCTTTGAAAATTTTCTTCTCTGCTCCAGGGTATTAAGCACATGAACTACCTATATAGTTATGCTGGACAAGGGCCCATATCTTCCAGAATTGTGAATTTCAAGGCCCCAGGGTCAGGGGTACCATAGAAAGGGGGGGGCTGTACTTATATACTGAAAATGAATGAATGGTTTGAAATCTGCTCCTTGGTATTAATCAAATATCAAGGCCTAAGGGTCAGGGGTTCATGTGTGGTAGGGGCACTACTGATTATTGCTGAATATTACTGATTAGTTGAAATGCATTTTTTGTTCCCTTACCCTGCATATGGGTATTAAGTAAACAAACTAAGCAACTGCTAAGTGTAATTTGTTATGATGATCAATGGTGCCTCTTTCAAAATTGTGAATGCCATAGCATCTGGCTTAACACATGAATCAAATTCAATCACTGGAAAGTTGTTGCATAATGCTCAGGTGACCTATAAGGCCCATGGGCCTCTTGTTTTCTCAAACCCAAAGCTAACATAATTCTCTCTCTCTCTCTCTCTCTCTCTGTGTGTGTGTGTGTGGGGGTGTGTGTGTGTGTGTGAGGCAATTTTAAAGTTTTTTAAACTCAAATTCAGAATCTCAGTTGATGATATGATTGAAATCTGGTAGATGGTCAGAAATTTGAAAGATTCATGGTCACATTGTCATTTTAAACTATAGTTATGTTTAAATTTCACTTTCTGTCATGATATTTCTTTCAGCTATGGATATAAGTGCAGATCTAACAGAACTAGGCAGAACCCCTGTCACTGTTATTTCTTCAGGAATAAAGTCTATCCTAGACATCGGCAAATCACTGGAATATCTGGTAAGTCTATCCTAGACATTGAGAAATTACTGGAATACCTGGTAAAACCAGAGGCTTTGATATAGGAATCACCAGTAGCTTAACAAATATACAGAAACACATTGTTATGGAAAACATGCTTAATATGATGAATTCATACTTACACCAAAGGAATATTTAATCCTTGTTGTTTTCAGACAGAATGATTATAGTTTATAAAAAAAAAATCAAAATTAGCTGTTTGCTGGAAGTTTTAATTTGATATAATATTTAAGAATAGGAGATTTTAAAAATGCACAATGCAAGGATATTTCTGTTAAAAAAAAATCTTTGTATGATATTACTGGAAGAAAGAGATATTTTTTAATTGCCAATTTTTCAGACTAAATGATATTCTTCATATAATAGGAGACGGAGGGAGTTGCTGTGGCAACATACGGCTCTTCTCGAGAATTTCCAGCATTTTTCACACCACATAGTGGTTTCCAAGTGCCGTACAATCTCATTAACCCAACCCAGGCTGCACACTTTATAGGTAAGGCTGGTCATATCTCAGTGGAACGGTGCAAGAGCTGAATGGTTCTGAGCCGAGTTTCAGGCAAAGGGTGGTAATTCTCAGTTTTTAAAGCTTTTACATTGATGGATGTGTAGTTTATGTTAAAAGTCAACTCAAAACCTTGTGCAAACTCTCTTTTATCATTCAATGAAAACATTTCATGTACAAAATAAATTGACTGACTAATCTTTCATCATGTTTATCTTTGACATTCATCAATAATAAACATTTTTTTCTCTGTATATGTAATTGGTAAAAAAAAAAAGGTCTTATGAATAAAAGCAGTTTTTCCATGTTACTCTACTTTTAGAGGCTCAGATGAAGATGCAGCTTAAGTCGGGGATTCTGATTGGTGTACCCATTCCTGCATCTGATGCCAGCCAAGGGGAGATAATCCAGCTAGCCATAGATTCCGCTATATTAGAAGCAAAGTAAGCAGAGTGCAGGATCTCAAAACATTATCAGCTTAAGTCAAAATGTTCATAATAATATAACAGATGGAGGAAATTTTGACTTAAGTCTAGCCTGTTTCATGATTCTAGGGCTTGATTTATTAAGAGTCATTCCACTGACCTATTGCTCTTTGTATTTGTCTTTATCACTGTCCATTGGTTTTCTTTCAAACTTATGAACAATTTGAGCTTTGACCTGTAAACCACTGGACCAAATGCAACCAATTTTGTTGTGGAGCATTTATTGGCAAAGAGGGACAAAAATTTTGAATTTTATGGTCTTTGTTTCTTTGGGACCTAGGGATACAGTTGAAACCATCAAAATGCAATTTTCAGAATCGTCTTACTTTTGGACACAAAGTAGTTAATATGATTATAGCGATCAATAAGTCTAGCAGAAAGAGTGAAATGCATAGACCCATGATCTGTTTTTTTGGGGGGGGATGTGGGTAAATGCATATTATTCATTGTACTGAAGACTGAGGATGACTCTTTCAAATGCTGAAATTCATGGCCCAAGGGTTTAAACTTTATAATCAGATGAATGTTAAGGCCCCTGAGCATCCTGTGTTTATTTGCTATATTAATTCTGAATTGTATGATAAACTTGTTTTAGTGTACATGTATTTTATAAAATGATACATGGATAGAAATAAAATGCCTTATGCATTTATTTTTGTAGAAAAGAGAAGATATCAGGTAAAGATGTGACTCCCTTTATCCTGGAGAAAGTGAATGAACTGACAGGAGGAGCATCTCTAGAAGCCAGTATCCTTTTTCTTCTGTAGATCCCTAAATATAAACCAGGAAATTTTAATCATGTAATTAGCAAGAAGGACTACTGAATAATACTGGTATTATATGTTTTAATCTTAAATTGCTGAAGGTCTTGATAATTTCATGTTCCAGCAATTTGATGTCTATGAATGATTTTCTAATGTAAAGTACTTGCATGCAATAAGGAATGTACAATATACATAAGCCAGACTATTTCATATTTAGATTGTTTTAGACAAACTCATTGTACTTGATAAAGAAAACATTCTTTGACTGACTTGACTAAAACAGATATGAACCTTATCCATAACAATGCCCGTGTGGGAAGCCAGATAGCGTACAAACTATCCAAACTCCTCAAATCCAAGAAAGGCAGACCGAACATTTCCCAGGTGACAAAACACACAGAGGAAACGGAGAAGACAGATGTGGTAAGAACAGGAAAAAGTTATGTATTTCAAATAATATTATATGAACAGTGAATAATTTTCAAAATATTTTCATTGAAATTCATTTATTTTATGAAGAGAAATTAATATTTATCCATCTCTGATTTTGCAGGTGGTGATCGGTGGATCTATTGTTGATTTTTATGCAAGAGTCAACTCGGACAATTTTCAGGTGATTTTTTTAATTGTTTTTAGCTCACCTGAGCCGAAGGCTCAAGTGAGCTTTTCTGATCACATTTTGTCCGGCGTCCGTCCGTCTGTCTGTCTGTCTGTCTGTCCGTAAACTTTTCACATTTTCGACTTCTTCTCAAGAACCGCTGGGCCAATTTCAACCAAACTTGCCACAAAGCATTCTTGGGTGAAGGGGATTCAAGTTTATTCAAATGAAGGGCCACGCCCTCATTCAAGGGGAGATAATTGGGAATTAATGAAAATTTGGTGGTATGTTTTAAAAATCTTCTTCTCAAGAACCACTGAGCCAGGAAAGATGAAACTTATGGGGAAACATCTTCAGGTAGTGTAGATTCATTTTTGTTCAAATCATGACCCCCGGGTGTAGGGCGGAGCCAAAATGGCCGACCAAAGTTTTACATAGAAATATATAGGAAAATTCTTTAAAAATCTTCTTCTCAAGAATGACAAAGCCATAGTTCATCATATTTATATGGAAGCATGCTCAGGTAGTGAAGATTCAAGTTTGTACAAATCATGACCCCCGGGGGTAGGACGGGGCCAAAATGGCCGACCAAAATTTTACATAGAAATATATAGCAAATTTCTTTAAAAATCTTCTTCTCAAGAATGACAAAGCCATAATTCATCATATTTATATGGAAGCATGCTCAGGTAGTGTAGATTCAAGTTTGTTCAAATCATGACCCCCAGGGGTAGGGCGGGGCCAAAATGGCCGACCAAAGTTTTATATAGAAATATATAGGAAAATTCTTTAAAAATCTTCTTCTCAAGAATGGCAAAGCCATAATTCATCATATATATATGGAAGCATGCTCAGGTAGTGTAGATTCAAGTTTGTTCAAATCATGACCCCCGGGGGTAGGGCGGGGCCAAAATGGCCGACCAAAGTTTTACATAGAAATATATAGGAAAATTCTTTAAAAATCTTCTTCTCAAGAATGGCAAAGCCATAATTCATCATATATATATGGAAGCATGCTCAGGTAGTGTAGTTTCAAGTTTGTTCAAATCATGACCCCCGGGGATAGGGCAGGGCCAAAATGGCCGACCAAAGTTTTACATAGAAATATATAGGAAAATTCCTTAAAAATCTTCTTCTCAAGAATGACAAAGCCATAATTCATCATATTTATATGGAAGCATGCTCAGGTAGTGTAGATTCAAGTTTGTGTAGGGCGGGGCCAAAAGAGTTTTACATAGAAATATATGAAAATTCTTTAAAAATCTTCTTCTCAAGAATGACAAAGCCATAATTCATCATATATATATGGAAGCATGCTCAGGTAGTGTAGGGCGGGGCCAAAATGGCCGACCAAAGTTTTACATAGAAATATATAGGAAAATTCTTTAAAAATCTTCTTCTCAAGAATGACAAAGCCATAATTCATCATATTTATATGGAAGCATGCTCAGGTAGTGTAGATTCAAGTTTGTTGGCCGACCAAAGTTTTACAAAGAAATATATAGGAAAATTCTTTAAAAATCTTCTTCTCAAGAATGACAAAGACCCCCAAAGTTTTACATAGGTAGGACAAAGCCATAAAAATGGCTGACCAAAGTTTTCAAAGATATATATAGGAAAATTCTTTAAAAATCATTTTCTAAAAAATAGCAAATCCATGATTGGTCATGGGACTACTTTTGGATTTAAACTTTACAATAAAAAAACATTTTCTACTTTTTCCTACCCTTAGTGCTCAGGTGAGTGATGTGGCCCATGGGCCTCATGTTATATGTTGAACCACAAAGAATTGACATTTTGACTTTGTTATAGGTTATGAAATTTGGTGATCTACAGAAATGTAGATGCTAAAGAAACCCTTAAGGACCATAATTCATTTCTTTTATTTAGAATTTGAATCAATTTCTACCATGGGAATGAAAGATAATACTTATATGTGATCTAAATGCAGTACATAATTTTAGAAGATGAAATATTAAAGAACCTTTATACCTTGTGTGTGTTTATATTTCCAGAGTAATGGTGCAACCTATCCAGGAGGAGTCGATCAATCATTTGGAGGGGTGGGAAGAAATTTGGCAGATGGATTGACACGTCTAGGTGTTAATACACTGTTCATTTCTGCCATTGGAAAAGATTCACACAGAGCTGGATTTAAATCCTATTGTAGTCACATGGTAATTATTTTCTTTGAATGCATGGGATTTAGGATTTAATGGCAGGATTGTTATCATCCTGTAACTCTATCTGTTGCTAACTTCTGTGGTATTTGATACCCCTACCCACCAACTGACCCCCCCCATCATTTTTGGGTGTAACCTTTTCACTGCATTTGACTCGATATAAAATATTTTTTTAACAACTTGCAATATCTTTGAGGATCATATGTTGTAACAAATAAACTTTAGATTTCTGAGCTATTCAGATGTTGCATTGTTTAGATATGTATATACCCCTGGTAATAATAAACAGTTTCCCTCTGGGTCTATATGCTACTTCACAATTTTCTGCATTTAAATTTTACACAGAACCTAGAAGCTGTGCTAGAACTGGAAGGCCAGAGAACTGCCACCTATTGTGCTGTACTGCAGAAAGGGGGACAACTCCTGTTTGGGATTGGTGACATGGACATTCACAGCCAGATTACTCCTGAATATGTTAGTATGAGCAATGATGGTGGAAAGATTAAATTTCTGGAGACGTAAAAATTATTCGAATTCAAGTACATATTCATTATTGGAACACCTGTAAAAACAGTTGTCAGTTATCTCTTTATCTATCATGTTCAAATAATGAAATACACAAGTACTGGTAACTGTATGTCCCAGCTGGTGATTTCATTGTACTAAGAGATTGAGACACATGTACTATTATTTCAATTGTTTAATGTATATTTGTTAGAAGTAGCTGAGTTGATTGTAGATAGAGAAGTACCGGGAGGCTATAGAGGAGGCTAAGATGGTGTGTATTGATGGTAATGTGACAGTGGAGGCATTACGGCGGGCCCTACAGATCACACAGGCCAATAACATACCAGGTACTTGGCCACATCTACACTCAGATTTATATCTGAAGGTGTATTCATTCACTAGGCTTCAAACTCTATGTGTACAAGTACATACATTTATATGTTTCTGATTGCCTGTAACAACTATACACAGATCAACAACATACATTTTTCATCATTTCCCCGCCACTGGTATTATCGTATAATCAGGTTTCTGTGTCACTGGTATAATCAGGTTTCTGTGTCACTGGTATAATCAGGTTTCTGTGTCACTGGTATAATCAGGTTTCTGTGTCACTGGTATAATCAGGTTTCTGTGTCACTGGTATAACAATTTTTCTGTGTCACAGTTTTGGTATATTTCAGGTTTCTGTGGCACTGGTATAATCAAGGTTTCTGTATCATGGTATAATCAGGTTTCTGTGTCACTGGTATAATCAGGTTTCTGTGAAATTCTGGTATAATCAGGTTTCTGTGTCATTTGGTATAACAGGCACTGTGTCACTGGTATAATTCTGTATATCAGGTTTCTGTGTCACTGGTGTTATGTGGTATAATCAGGTTTCTGTGTCAAAATGGTATCTGTACAGTTATAATCAGGTTTCTGTGCACACTGGTATAATCAGGTTTCTGTATCATGGTATAATCAGGTTTCTGTGTCACTGGTATAATCAGAAATTTCTGTGTCACTGGTATAATCAGGTTTCTGTGTCATTTCAATATAACAGGTTTCTGTGTCACTGGTATAATCAGGTTATCTGTGTCACTTATAATCAGGTTTCTGGTTACTGGTATAATCAGGTTTCTGTGTCAAAATGGTATAATCAGGTTTCTGTGATTATGGTATAAATCAGGTTTCTGTGTCACTGGTATTATGTGGTATAATCAGGTTTCTGTGTCACTGGTATTATGTGGTATAATCAGGTTTCTGTGTCACTGGTATTATGTGGTATAATCAGGTTTCTGTGTCACTGGTATTATGTGGTATAATCAGGTTTCTGTGTCACTGGTATAATCAGGTTTCTGTGTCAGAACCATGTATAATCAGGTTTCTGTGTCACTGGTATAATCAGGTTTCTGTGTCACTGGTATATATATTTACAAAACTGTGTCATTGGTATAAAAAAGTTTCTGTGTCACTGGTATAATCAGGTTTCTGTGTCACTGGTATAATTTTTATTTTTCTGTGTCATTTGGTATAATCAGGTTTCTGTGTCACTGGTATTATGTGGTATAATCAGGTTTCTGTGTCACTGGTATAATCAGGTTTCTGTGTCACTGGTATATGTATTACAGCAATTACCATCTGTGTCAGCTGGTATAATCAGGTTTCTGTGTCACTGGTATTATGTGGTATAATCAGGTTTCTGTGTCACTGGTATTATGTGGTATAATCAGGTTTCTGTGTCACTGGTATAATCAGGTTTCTGTGTCACTGGTATAATCAGGTTTCTGTGTCACTGGTATTATGTGGTATAATCAGGTTTCTGTGTCACTGGTATTATGTGGTATAATCAGGTTTCTGTGTCACTGGTATTACAAATTGGTATAATCAGGTTTCTGTGTCACTGGTATTTTGTGGTATAATCAGGTTTCTGTGTCACTGGTATTATGTGGTATAATCAGGTTTCTGTGTCACTGGTATAATCAGGTTTCTGTGTCAACAGGTTGTTAATGAGATGTTGATTTTTAGCTCTAGTGGTCAGAGACCAGAAGAGCTTATGCGACAAAAATAGGGTGGGGTCACGTAAAAAATCTTCGTCCGTCCACTGGGCCAGGAAAGCTGTCTGTATGTGGAAGCATCCTCTGGGTAGTGTAGATAACAATTTTTCAAAATGCTACTCCTCCTACAGTCCAATTTTTACTGAAATATATCAATATAACTTGGCACACAAGTAGACTACACTAAGATACATAATTCTGTGTATCGGTTTTTGATTTCGATGAACGGTGTTGCGGTGGTTACTAAAAATAGAAATTTCTGTGAAATTATTTCAAAATGCTACTTCTCCTACAGTTTTGGTCTGATTTCAATATAACTTGGCACACAAATAGACTACACTAAGATACATAATTCTATATATCGGTTTTTGATTTCAATGAACGGTGTTGCCGTGTTTACTAAAAATAGAAATTTCTGTGAAATTCTTTCAAAATGCTACTTCTCCTACAGTTTTGGTCTGATTTCAATATAACTTGGCACATAAGTAGACTACACTAAGGTACATTATTCTGTATTTTAATTTCTAACTTCAATGAATGGTGTTGCCATGGTAACTAAAAATAGAAATTTCTGTTAAATACTCTCAAAATGCTACCCCAAATAAGTTTTAGTCTGATTATAATATATTGTGGCATACAAGTAGACTACACTAAGAACATAAAGAGACTTAATCAAGGATCATTATTCTATTTATTGCTGTTGAAAAGTTTCAATTTCCAACTGCTTAAGTACTTTTCTCTTCCTTTGCTATAAGTACAAACCAGTAGAGCTCCAGTCTCGACAGAGACTTCTGGTTTTTTTACAGTTTGTTTTGAACCAACAGACATACACAAGGCCAGTAAACCATTCCAGGTCAACATCAGGAAAGCTGTTACGATAACAACACCCAATCTGAATGAGCTCAGAACCATGTACAAGTTCTTAACAGGAAGTTTAGATTCTGCCTATGGTAGGTAGAGAATGTTAGCTGAATATTTATATATTTACAAAACATTAGTAACTAAACTCCTGTTTTTCCTGTAATGGACACATAATAACAATCCAAAAAATTCATGTACCGGTAATTTTATATTCATAGATTTAACCAAAATGTGATTCCACAAAATTATAACCCATGGAAAATAACATGTTCACTGTACATATCTTTCTGAATCAGTTTAACTATTTACAAATCTAAACCTTTTTTATATATATGATACTCTTAAGGCTTGACTTTTATGGTCATTTTCTGTTGATTTCAGGCTGTACGGGTTCAGATGATCAGCCATTGAATAGTGTGTTGATGGAATGTGTCCTGTTATCCAAAGTCATCGCATTACACATTCCTACAGTGGTAGTCACTCTTGGGAAGCACGGCATGGCCCTGTGTCAGAGACACAAGACAAAGAAACCAGACCAAAGCATCATACTCAGAGTAAAACTCCTCCTTATCAGCAGACCATAAAACTCAAAGAAAATGTGATCATAATGACCTTAGAGAGCTGATGTACGTATAACAAAATTTATTAACGGATTCTGAATTTTTTTTTAAAGGATGGAAGTTATTTGACTGTTGACTGGTACCCAGCAGTGCCAAAGGGACAGGAACCACACAAAATTGTCAGTGTGTCAGGGGCTGGAGACTGGTAAGTTTTCTCTCTATTCAGAGGCTATATAGTTGATCCATAGCTTAAATTAGACTAATGATGAAACTACTTAGCATTGGCTTATTGATTGGGGTTGCACAATAATATTATATATTGGTATATTGTGATTCATTAAGAAAAAAACATGGTATTGCAATGTGTTTTTCAATTACCGATATACTGTTAAAATGCTGGGCTTTAGATTTTGTAGCCCAGATTTGAAGTAATACACTTGTATTATTAACATTTGCATGTTCAATTTCAGCTTGATTTCAGCCATAATTTCTGGGATGATAAGAGGTCATGACCTTGACCTCAGCATAAAAAAAGGTCTTCAGGCAGCTCAGCTCTCTCTTCAATCCCATCATGCAGTGCCTGTCTCCCTCTCACAGACACAGATAGAACTGATGGATGAGGCGTGGAAACAGTTGACCTGTACCAGAATAACAGAAGACTGAAAGTTAGACGACTTGAGTAACCTAGTGATAAGAAGGCTTCTATTTTCTCAAGTAAGGGTAAATTTTAAAATGAATGACAGATTCCATTGCATTCCCTAATAGTGTACCTTATATGATATAGCTAATACAAGCTTCAAAAGCTACATTTTCTCCACAAAATATAAACAGGTATGTTTTATCTCATGTCAATTATCTCATCCAAGAAATCCGATAAACATTTGAAGTTTACATTAACTTACTGATGTGACTTATTGCTGTTTATCTTTCCTTGTTCTTTCCTTGAATGAATATTACATTATGTTTATTTTTTTATTTCTAATTCTACTAGAACCTTTGAGTTGCATTTTTTAAAAACCCAGATATCCTCAAAGGTCTCATAGCAGAAAGCATATTATGGAAGATAGGGCTAGTATAATTATGTACCCTGAATAGTATTCTGGGTAGCTGTTTGATAGAGCATCTAACTCTGATACAGAGTTTTCCTTGTTACCAACTTGCATTCCTTGTTACCAACTATAATTTATAAACCTAAATGTTTTCCAAAAAGTAGTTTTTTTCTTTTCCAAATATAACAAGATACTGTACCTGGTATATGAAATATGAATATTTAGCTTCCATCTAATTTTGGCATTATCAGCAAAAGTATTAGTAGTGCTAAAAATTATGTTATACTGCTAGTTATTTCATCTTAGAAAATTAAATAATCCCTAAAATCTTCTTAAAATCTCAAAATAATTAAGGCTGATAAGAAATGGCCAAATTTTGGATGGCTAATTGGTCTGATACTTCATTTATGTTACATAATAGAAATTAATACGTATACCGGTATTTACATTCCACAGTTATTTATATTATATGCAGTTTATTTACCAATATAATATTATATTAAATCAGATAAAGGATGTAATACATGTCTGCTGAAGTGTCCCTGGAGTTTAGCTCTGCTTTGTAGGCAGCACAAAAATATCATTTCAATTGTCAATAAACCAAAAATTTTTTTAAAATCAAAAAATTATTTGTAATATGCTAACACAAAAAATTTACTAAATCAAAGTCACCTGGGTGATTAAAATAAGTACTCTATGAAATGCATTAGATAATCCATAAATGTTTAAATCCATTATAAATGTTAAAAAAGGATATTGATGAAAACTTCATAGATTTTTTTCAATACTTTAAATTGATTCAGTAATAAACTTAGTACTATGTCAATATATCAAATTTTTAGTCCCAGCCTCTTTTTTTTCACCCTTGTTATCTGATAATATCTGAAATTTTATTCATAGTCCCATCAAATTCTATATTTAAGAAGGTTTGACTGTACTTTATTTTATATTACATGATATACCGATGATATCTAGTTCATGTTTTGCCATTGTACTTTAAGGACATTTGTGTCTATGACATTCAGTATATGTATTTTTGATATTGACCTGTGTTTTTGTACAAGTTGTTTATTGTCAGTAATTAATGTTAAATTATTAATTAAGACAGAATTATGACAGTTGATTGGTGCTCTTGATGAAAATTTTGTTAAAGCAATATATTTTCATACAGTACATGTACATGTAACTAAAAGTTTTTGACTCGTGAGGATCTTTAACATTTTATGTCAAAATCGTGTATTCGCGTATTGTTCATAAGGATAGAAAATTATTTAAACTGTGATGCATCAGTATGTTTTAGCAGCAGAAAAGAAAATTAAAAGTCCCAATTTGATATATGTTTTCCTCTATGTTTCAGCATTTGAACTTGTGTTCTCAGTTTTAAAAATCTTATTGTATTCTATGTAGACCAAAGACATTTAAATTGGTGCAGTGAAAGCCTAGTCAATCTCAGCAATTAACTTGACCTTTATGCCTCTGTTTTCCAAGATTTGGAGGTACAATGTATGTATAGGTTTTGCTCTGTCTGTTTGTCGGCCAAAACAAGAGAGTTAACTTTTGAATTGTTGATGCTAGGACTTCCATATTGCAGATAAAAATATCTTGCAATGAGATCTTTTTTTGGACACAAACATATTTGACTTCTTAACCTTAGAGTTTCCCTTACTTTAATTATCAAACTTTAAAATTGGCTGTAACTTCTGTATGGCTGGAGCTATGGCTTTTATATTTTACAAGTATAGTCCATGTGTCCAGATCTTTGCTTAGATATATTATCAACATTTTTTACCTTTCAACCCATTTTTCAGTTTAACCTACAATTAAAAAAACTTTAATCTTGACCTTCAGTGGTATTCACATATCGTGTATCATTTGTGACAAGACCTTTGTTTTGGATACCAACATTTTTTACTTCATGATCTTGACCTTCCACTTTGACTACATTTCAAATAATTTGTAGCCTTGTTTATTATTTTTGAAGGCTTCCATATTTCACTTGCACTCCTTGTAACAAGGCCTTTACTTTGATAATATTATTATTTGTCCTCACGACATTGACCTTGGAATACTACGGTACTTTCTTTTTGAAAGTTTAATGTTGACCATTTTTTTCTGAATGGTTGAATTTCACTAATAAATTATAGTGACCGAAACATAAAGGTCTAAGACCATGTTTTCGTAACCTATAGAATGACGTAGACTAGATCTTTCTTTAGAAGTCAACATTTTTGAACTATTGACCTTGGATTTTAGAATATTTGAAAAACTTTCACATTGGCCTTGAGCTGCTGTATGGGGGCATCAGTGTTTCACAAATATCTTGTTTTACTTAAGTTTGTAGTTATAGCATTGTTTCAATTACTATTCTAAAGTGCTACATGTATATTTCAGCTAATTAAGTCCCGTAACCTGTTTTAACAATTAAAATTTTTCATAGTTAGTGGTTATAAATTATATAATTCCTCTAGCTGAAAATTTTTGTAAAAAAATTATCAAACTTTAATGTCTTTAGATCTGTTTTCACTGTATCTGGTTATATTGATTCATTCTTTTACCTACATTTCCTTTAGTACGTAAATCTGATATTGTTACATGGAGTTGCCAATATAAACATGTTAACTGTATATTGTATATTGTCTATATAAAAACCACTGAAAACAAAAACATGTTTTATATAAATTGTGCTTTAGATATTGAAAAGACTGCTTAACACACACTAATCATTATTTTTTTATTGTATACAAAGTATTATAATTTTTCTTTATATATTCATGTATAAAATATTATTCTACACTTACTCCAGTCAAAAAAAATGAATGTGATTCCTAAAATATATTCTACAATGTTGTATGATTTATGTACAATGATGATTTATTGATTATTTTTATATACCAAATATTTTCTGAGAATAAAAAATATACCTAGTATACATACACTTATCCTTATTATATTATCATTCTGATAATAGACATTACTATACAAATCACATACTGATTCCTGTTATGTACATGTGAAGTAAAAAAAGAACTGATTTTCTGTACAAATTACATGGCACACGACTACAATTGTAGACATAAAGACATTGGCAAATATTTAAATGCAAACTGACAGGAATGAATTCAGTTTGTTTTGTTTCAACGGAATGTAAATCATTTTTGCAACTAGGAAAAGAAAAACTTGTTTGATCTTAATGGAATATCAAGTCAATGGTTGATATTTATTTCAATTTATTTTCTTCAAAATATTGAAGGAAAATTGTCAAATAAATAGTTTTCGAGGGAATTAAAACACAATACAAAAATTTTGTTAACTTCAAGTGAATCTTTTTTGCCAATGGAATGCTAAAGATAAGAGGTATAAAGCAGATTCACTGTACATGTCTAGTCTTGATGAAAATGCTCTGATTGACATATTAAAGATGACGATGAGAATAACACATAAGTCTGGCCTACACAAAGGATTCTGAATGCTTGCTCTGAGCCCCTTGACTGACGGCTCCCATGCTAGCTCCCCCCATACTGGCCCCGCCCATGCTGGCCTGACCCATACTGTATCCTCCCACACTGCGGCCGTGCTCACTGGGTTCATAGTGGGGTGGTCTCATTGGTGGGGCCATTCCTGATGGTAAGGGAGGTAACTCCAGCTTCTTCTCGATTTCTTCTGTACTTTTCTCTGGTTTGTGGTGGATGTCTGAAGATTTTATGAATAGGGAGATTCCAGCAAAAACGGAAAAGAATCCCGATAGGACGAAAAACCCATATGACCATGATAGGTAGTTCAACCAGGGTCGAGGCATCCAGTTGGGGTCGCGGGCATACATCGGGAACATTAAGGCAACAATCAAGACAAACACAGCTGGAAAAGACAAAAATACCGAATCATTTAAAACGTGTATGATGGCAGATTCATCAGGTTCTGTGTAATAAACATGTACAAAAATTCCTAAAAATGAATGTACAAGAATTAGTTTTTAGTGGAATTGTTGTTAGAAGTAAAGTTTACCTGACACAAACATGAGGACAGAGTTAACCAGGAAGGCCCTGTATCGGTTTGGGTTGTAGTATTTGATCCTCAATCTGTCTACCGGATAGAAGGAGAGCATGAACACGGCAGCCATGTTGATCAGCAGGGTCAGGATGACAACCGTCTGGACGACTCGGAACCAGGCTGAAAAAAAGATCAATGTAATGTGAACTAGTTAGAATTAAAATATTGTCATCAAGCTCCTGCACAGAGAAGCTTGCTTTTGGGAATGATGTTAAAAAAATATGTTTAAAAACAGATTCATTTCGTAACAACTAAAAGTAACCCATGCAAATTCCTCTCAGTATATATTATTTTTCACCCCCCCCCCCTTTCAAAAAAAAATTTAAAGTTTGGATTTAACCTGGTGATATTGAACATGAAGCTAATCGTGTAAAATGGTTGAGCCAAAATATTAAAGCAAAACAAGCTGTTTCTTGCATAGATCTATCATTTTACTTTTATGTGATTAATTAAGTCACTTTACTTATTATATATGGATTGATGAAATCTACCTGGCATTATTTCATCCCAGACGTCTTCAAAGAAAGTAGAATGGATCCACCAGCAGCCTACATATGATCTCATGGTGGGGTCCCTTGGCTTGACCCATCCTGAGAGACAAATATGCCACATCCCGACATTGGCGAGGGGACTGTGGACTCGGCTCCATGACTTGTACCAGAAGGGGGAGGCGAAGGCAACAAACACTAAAACCAGAGAGATTATCGAACAAATAAAGGCAAACCAGTACATGTATCCTCGGCTTTTCTCTTGATAGCCTTTACCTGCGCCTTTACCAGACGCCATTTTGAATGTTTGTAGTCTACCTGGACTAGTCCACTTTCGCACCTGTTGTGTTTTGAATAATCGTTTCCGGGTTTTGTACTTTTGCGTATAATACAAGGTAAACACACGAGGATATTCGAAAGAAACATCCGGTATTTGGCCTGTTCCATTACATTTTAGGGGATGAACAGATTGAAAATTCTTTAGTTTTGAATTAGAGAGAGAGAGATAGAAAGAGAGAGTTGTTGTTTTTAAAAAAACATATCCATTATTTTCTTGCAAGTATAAGGTAGAAGTTTTGTCACTTTCTGTCTTTATTAAACTTTAGACAACAATTGATACTTTTGTTTAAACTAAACTAAAACAATCTTGTTTTTAGAAGAAGAAAATAAAACATCAAAAAGAAAAAAGAAAACTTTCTTTTTTAAAAACTTAAAGAAAAACATAGGTACGCACACGTGTGCAACTGACAAAATCTTCAATGTGATGAAGAAGGCAAGAATTTTTTCAAGAAGATAAAAAAAAAAAAACTTTTAAAAAAAATTGCAGAGTTATCATTTTTCTTGCAATGATTATCTTATTTATTCCTAGTCATATCGTAAAAACTATCCTTCGAATTAACATAATTATGTAAGCTACATTAAAATTTAAAAAAAAAACAATTTTTTTTCATGTTTATTTCAGTATCTTTAACTTTCCCCGGCCGTAATAAATCTTTATGTCAAGTTTAAGCTGCACACGCACGTTATAGTTGTATACGTACATATACGATTTATATAGATACGATTTAACTTTTTTTACTTAAATTACCGTTTCTTAATAACTTTTAAATTCCTGAAATATTATTAATTCATTTATAATATAAACATATTAATTTATCATAGTTAGTACAGTTTAATGCCGTTTACTAAAATACGAGAGTATATATAGAATCTATACTATAGATGAACATGATATTTGATATTTACGTTCAAATAAAATTTTTACTGATTTTTAACTTGAAAAACTTCAAGTTTCTGTAGTTAAATTGACTTTAAACTGTGTCTGATATTTAAATGACGATTAATAAATCGGTTATTGCTTTAAATTTCTAATATCAATGAAACGCGATTGATTTAAATTGTGTAATTTACATGAAAGCCCTATCTTTATATAAAGAAATGAAATAAATAGATCTTTTTTTTTTATTTTAGTTAGTCTGAACTTATAAAAAA